TAATTTTGCTGTGTTGCGTATGGTGAGTGTAGAGAACCGGAGACCCTTTTTTACTGAAAACGAGGCATTCCACCTCAGTCCTCAGGGGTGACAACACACCTGCGTTTTGATTCTTAATCGAGGATAAATGTAGATGTCTATGGGCGACAGCAACCACTTACCATCAGGTTGACTGTGTGCGCGTTTGTCTCCATTATTCCATAAAAAAAGAAAGGGAAGCGGTGCGTTAAGTACTTAATAGATCAAGGAATACTTTTCTGCGTATGAGTCTGTTGCGGTAGGGAGCACCGTCCTACTTATTTCTACGAGTACCACTTAATGGCAGTGCCTGAATTGCCATATACCGATCTGAAGGATATAGACAACCAGGATAATTCCAGGTCGTGAGGCATTTCATCTAAGTACTCAGAGGTGGCTATGCGTCTGTAGCATTATTTGTTTGAAGTTGACTGCAGAATCCACTTACCAACATTTGAACAGTAACTCCGTTTGTTACTTCAGTGTTATAATGGCAAAGGGCAGCAAAGAGTCTATAACAAAGCAGTGGCGTGAGTGCGTGTTAGGACAGACGTCCTTGACAGTTGTCTGATAAAGTTATCATGTCTACTATTTGAAGGCCTGGCTTCTACCGTACAAAATTATCTTGAAAATCGGCATGCTTATAATATTAACAATCCTGAGTCCACCCAACTTAGCAGCGGAGCATAATAGAGGCAAGGGTCCTGACAGGATGTCTTTTTTTCTTGAATTTCACTCAACGGAATTAATCATACCCAACAACAATTAACAATTTTCCTTTTCTCTTTGAGCGCGCATGCGTTAGCGTCTGCTTTGCAAAGTCGGTTAATAAAGCACAGGGATCGACGTTGCACACAGTGGGCGTGGATATTATGCCGAGCTATTATGTTGCGAGATATTTATTCTTTAACAGAGCCTAATAAAATATAGAATATTTTTTACTGTAAACGATTAAAGGTTACGTATTGACTTACATTAATAAATAAATGCCTTAGCGATAATATCAGTTAACATTCTATACTTTGTACTAATATGGTATATTATACAAATAATTGACGACGTCACTTTACAAACGTGCACTCGAACGAAGTCTTATACCTATACTGATAATCAGCATTGAAACAAAGATCTTTAGAAACTATATATTTGTTTTTAAGGCTTTTTTTGAATTGATCTACGACGTTAAAACGTTTTTCCATAAATGATTAGAAAACAAAAAAAAATTAAAAATATCGGATAAAGTGTCGGATTAGACTGCAGTAATTTCTAAAATAAAGACAAATTTAACGATAATTTTATTAAGGCGCTTAGGCTACTAGATTTCATAAAAGAACAGAAAAACTTAAATACATGTACATTACTGGGTATGGTATATACTATAATTTAAAAATATAACCCAACTTATTGGCAGCGTTTAATTTCGGGCAGTATTTTTCAAAACATTATTTAGTAAAAACAAAAATAATGAAACACATTTATTTAAATTAAAAAATAAATATAAATAAAAATGTGAATAGTTTTTATATCTCTCGTCTATGTTGAGGAATAGTATCTAAAAAATGTCTTCAATAGACAAACGGATTCCGACCTGTTTCGAAAAATATCCAGTTTTTTTTTTAAATTTTTCCTTGAAACTTCAATTAAATGAGTAAAATTAATATTCTATTTCACGATTAATTAAGTTGTTGCCTTCGGTATTTCATGAATAATTCAATTATGACAACTAACATAACGTGGAGTTATGTTACAAAGCAAATGCTTTAGACAGAATGTCTTTGTACAACCTCCAGCATTATGTAAGCTTTACAAAAGTGTCTTGGGGACCGTCTCTCTTGCCAAAACAACCTTATAAGATAATTATAATTTACAAATTATTTTAAGCATTTTGCCTATCCACAATTACGCGTGTAAGTTTAGTTAGTAAGTAGTAGTAGTATTTTAAGTCCTTTTAAGTTAAGTTAAGTTACAGCCTCTATACGTCGGTCTCCTGGGCACAGGAGCCCGCTTATTTCTGAGAGGGTTTATTGTTATTTATTTAAGGAATTATTCGCCGCGCTGCCCCAATGCGTGTTGGCGAACTTCACATATTTTCGAAATATTTTTTTCTTATTTCTCAGACATGCAGGTTATCTCACTATGTTTTCATTCGTTAAAATTGCAATTAAAAATTTCATTTGTGCCTAAGGAGATCGAACCCGGTTTGTTCGCGTACCGTGTAAAGCGTAAAGCGAGCGCTAACCATCTGAGCTACCACGGCTCAGATGGTTAGCGCTTTTCTTAAAATCGTTATATAAGAGTCGACGATGCGTACAGCTACTTCAATATTAAAACGACCTATAAGTAAAATATGTAAAAAAAGAAGAAGAAAGTTATATTCTTTATTTAATTTGTATATAAATTCTGTATCTAAGAAGAAAGTTATTTTCTTCAAGAGATCACGCCTCACGCCTGTCAAAAGTGTTTTCTTGACATTTAACTTTATAATTAATATTTAAAACAGTTTTTTGATTATGAATAATTAGATATATAGGTGTCACTTTATGTTAATTATAATTAATTTTTACAGCTTAAAGGACAATAGCGTCCTTTGGGGGCCGGAAATTCGAATATAATAAATTATTTTGTATTATGTTCTAGAGTTGTTCGAAAATAAAATTTGAGTACGTCAAATGTCTTCATTTGTTGCTATACAATAATTAAAGGTTGTGAGACATTCTATGTTATTCCTCTGATACCACAATACATCTATAACCTTCTATACTTTAAGGTGTGTGTAGGTGTTTAGAGCTGCATAAGCCATATTTATTAACTGAGTCAAGAAAACGAAGAGGTTCTATATTCGATGCGTTTTTTTATTTAGTAGATACGCAATCGGCATGTTCACCGATTTCTCGTTGTTGTGTTGTTGTTCTTTTGTGTTTATTCTTTTATCAAATAGGTTATGCTTCACGGGTTGTCCCATATAAATTCGAGGAAAAATTTCGACACCATTAAAAGCCTGACTCCAGAATCTATTATGTGGAAATAATTTTTCAACCTTCAGAATGTACTGTATGAAAATTGAAGTCTTGACGCATTATTTATTTTAATACTTTAATTTGACAAAGGGTCAAACACTCGAAACGTCGGAGAACAATTTTTTTTATAGGATAGGGTGACAAACAAGCACATAGTCCACCTGATGGTTAGTGGTTGCTGCGGCCCATAGACATCTACATATATCTTCGATTACAAATCAAAATGCAGATGTGTTTTCATCCGTGAGGAAAAAGATAGAAAGCCTTGTTTCCATCAAAAAGGGTCTCCAGTTCTCTACACTCATACGTAGCACAGAAGCATTAAGCTACTTTTTCATGCTGGTATTTTGTGACAGCGTGGTCCTTCCCCGGTCGAGCCGACCCATTCCTGCTACAACTATACTAAGATAGGTGGACCATGTAAGGCCATGCTCCTTCGAAGGCCAATTATTAAAATGTCGTAGTTATTGCCATGTAATGACAAATTCCTTCCACTTACACAAACATTCATTGAATTGAAAATCACAGACGCGGCGGCGAATCGCTCGCGCTACTATTTTGGCAGTACGGTCCCTCGCTTTATTGATTTCGGGAATCGACGACGTTAAAGTAAGGTGGGTGTACCATGGAAGGCTACTATAACAAATAAACAGTTAATTTTCGTTTATTTACTGGATAAATGAAACTAACAAATATTTAAGTAATACTTTGTTTTATTACGTAACATATAAACCACTTATTTTTATTGTAGATTTGTTTAGTTATAATATAAACTGCAGCATGGCTCTACCACGTAAAATTAAGATAAAATTAGTTTTATCAAACATCGCCACAATAGAATCTATTAAGATGGCGTTATTTAGATGTAAAATAATCAGAGGCCATTTAATTCATAATTATTACTTTTTTTTAAAACACGTTTTCAAGTCTTTTGAATAAAATGTAGCCAAAATCCCGCCAGGCATTGCTCTCAATCTGTTCGTAATGTTTCATCGCAATTGGTTTTAGCCATAGCCATAGCCATAGCCATAGCCCGGATAGACGGAGATATATATATCGACGCTGGAAAGGAAAAATTATCCAAGCGACATTTTTGGCCATATTGAGTTATAAACATTGTTGGAATCGCCTGATTTTTCTGCGTCGTTTGGTCTTACTCACGTCCTTCTACGACGACTTTTGATGTCGCTTCAACATTATGGAATTCGCGAGGTTTCACTTTTTTTCCTTTCTAACCGACAAAATTTTCGAGCATTTTTTGAAAATTTGGTGGTAGTCGTAATTGTGAAATGCTAAATTTGACTTTGGTCAAATTTGACATTTCTGTTCGTACGGTAATTACTCCACTTAGTTAATTTTTCCAGTATCTGGCAATATAGTGTAAGGCGCATAGTATATTTTTTCCTCAGAAAGGATTTGTTCTTTTATCACTTAGGTAATTTTGGCTGATTTGGTTTTTTTCGAACATGGCGTTTAGTTAAAATTGGCAGTTTTCTTTTTTTAATATTCAACTGGTTCAGCAAATATTACCTGCTTAAAAATACAACTGACTGTCGGTTAGTCAATTTTTACCTGCCGTTTTCAAGTGTTATTTTATTATTTAGGCAACTTTTACTTGACCGTATACGATTATCCAATGTTGGTTACATCCTATGGTTGTGTCACGCACAGGCGCAAAGTTTATTTTTACCTAAAATAATTCACATAAAAAACGTCGGTTACACTTACGGATAACGCGTGAGCAGTCGCTTGAGCATGCAGTGAAGTTAGTTTCAAAGTAAAAAAGATACTTCAGGGCACGGCCGGTCGTCGCTTGAGAGACACGCGCACGCTGCAATTCCGTTGTCAACTGAGGACGGACGCTTATCTTATGACAAACACGAAAACTGTAAGTTGAACTAACAAATAAATTCGTTTTTAATGCTGTTTTCGCGTTACTACATGGTGTACCTTTATTTCAGAACAATGGACCGAAGAAAACGTAGTCATAGTCTTTTGGAAAAGGCTCTTAAAGAATCGGGAATCTCTTTTAAAACCAAGGACGATTTACAGTCGGTATGTATGTAATTTTCTTTGCATCTCTCATTGTTGTTTCGTATTATTATTTATGTTATGTACCTACCTATATTAGATTTCTGTTTTGCTATCATACCTAGATAAGCGCTCCGTTTAGCTTGTTAGGTACTCATTGATTGAAGGTCACGTCTCGTCACTGGCGCTATGTAGCTATATGGCCAAAGTCGTGTGTTTAAAAGTAATTTTGGTACTGCTGCTTTAAGGACCTACACAACTATCTTTCAATTGTTATTCTCTTATGTTTATAAAAAGTGAGTGCTAGCTTAGAGGAAAGTAGGTAGGTGTATGTTTGGATTATAAATAATTTGGTCAGAATTTATAAAAAATATGAAACTTTTACCATGTTTTAGGCCAGTAAAAAGTCTAAAGAAACTGACCCAGAGAAGCAGAAAGCACCTGGACGTAAAAGTCAGACTGTCACTGAGGAAAAGAAACAGACGAATAAAAAAAAATATTGCAGACAACTAAAATTTGAAGAGTCTGTAAGTACCTACCGACGTATTTTATTATATTTTTAAATATAAGACATATCTTACTAATTTAATTATTGCGTACCTACTAACTGCTTTCGTGGTCTAGTGGTCTGAGCGTTGGTCTCGGAATCCGGAGGTCCCTGGTACGATTCTTGGGGGGAACACACAAAGTTGATATTTTTCACTTTGTGAATTTGTTCCCAGTTTGATTAGGACATTGCAGGCTGAACCACCTGGTTGTCCGTAAGAAAGATGGTTCCGTGTTTCGGAGGGCACGTTAAGCCGTCGGTCCCGGTTGCTGTCTATGTTCACTTAGACGGCGGCGGTCGTAACACAACCATGTCAGAGGCCTACTCGTAGTAGTAGGGAGTTTAAAAACTCTGACACCAGGGTTCATCGGGTCGTTCGTTGACTCGGTATCCCACACGACAAGAAGATAAACTAAATTATTTCTAATATTAATTTGGCTTCTTAGTGAAGTTTTCCTTTAGGGTATTCTACCTTAAGAAATTCCCTGGTTCGATTACTAGGGATACTATATGGTATAAAAATAATTTGCTGATGATTCTGTACTTTGCAGAGTACATTTTAGCTGACTTATTTCGACTAATGTCATTGAGAGTAATCAATCATCATTAATTAAATCTTTGGCCATATGGTCATTTCATGACTTTAGATAAAATAAATTAAAGAAGCTACTTCGTTTATTTCAGAATGAAACGCGTAAGTGCTCTTCAACTGCGCCTGTAATATCACGACGTATTACTGAAGATGAAGAGAACTATGACCCTGAGGAAGTTTTCGCAGCTCTTACAGATACCATGCAGCATATCCACAGTACGGACTTACTTTCGAATGACGATGCAGCATCAGGAGTTTCTCACAGTATGGACATATCTGCGATTAATGATACCGTTCGAGATAATTGGCAGGTTTATCTCGATCCTTCGCAGACTGGAACAACAAGTCCTCGCAGTATGGACTTACCTTCGAATGATGATTCAGCTCCAGGAGTCCCTCGCAATATGGACTTACCTTCGATTGACGATTCAGCTCCAGGAGTCCCTCGCAGTGTGGACTTACCTTCGAATGATGATCCTGCTCCAGAAATCCCTCGCAATATGGACTTACCTTCGATTGACGATCCAGCTCCAGGAGTCTCTCGCAGTGTGGACTTACCTTCGAATGATGATCCTGCTCCAGAAGTCCCTCGCAATATGGACTTACCTTCGATTGACGATCCAGCTCCAGGAGTCTCTCGCAGTGTGGACTTACCTTCGAATGATGATCCTGCTCCAGAAGTCCCTCGCAATATGGACTTACCTTCGATTGACGATCCAGCTCCAGGAGTCTCTCGCAGTGTGGACTTACCTTCGAATGATGATCCTGCTCCAGAAGTCCCTCACAATATGGACTTGCCTTCGATTGACGATCCAGCTCCAGGAGTCTCTCGCAATAAGGAGTTACCTCCAAAGGATAAGGCTGCTCTAGGTGTAAGTACTCGTAAACGAAAAGCCAAAACAAGTATCCGATATGTTGATTACATGTCTGATGAAGATTTTTCCACTTTATTCTGTCTTGGTGAAGAGAATGGCGCAGTTGATTCTGACGAATGGGTAGGATCTGACACGTCAAACAGTGATGAAGAAGAAGACCAGTCAAATAAGAAAAAAACAGGAAAAAATAAGAAAAAGAAGCGGAAAGAGTCAAGTAAGAATAAAAACAGGGAATTGCTTAAAAATAATACTGAAGAAAATTTAGATACAGAAAACGAGAACGTAGGAGAAAAAGGTTTAAAAAGAGTGAAGAAAAACACGAGAAAGGAAAGGGCTCTTTCGAAACAAACAGGAAAGGAATACGTAAGAAAAGATGGTCAATTAGTGCCAGAAAAATCAATTCAACCTAATCCATGTAAGGGTAAGAAATGTGGGAACAATTGTGAAAACGTAACCGAAGAAAAAAGGCAACAAGTATTTAAACATTTTTGGACGCTTACCCCTGAACGCCGTAGAGACTGGTTGGTTGGCATGACTGACAAAGGAAACGTTAAACGTAAACGTAGTAGTTCAGAATTGCGCAGTTACACATATAAGTATTGCATTACTGATGGTGAAGGAAAAAGATCTGTATGCTTACAGTTTTTGGCAGCAACATTAGATATTTCACAAAAGTGTATATATTACACGGTAAAAAATGCTTCCTCGGGAAGTGCTAAAGAAGACTTGCGAGGAAAATGTGAACCACACAACAAAACCAAACCTAGTACTAAAGAGTCTGCCGTCAATTTCATCAAAAGCCTACCAGCCGTCCCCTCACATTATTGCCGTCATGATTCTACCCGGGTTTACTTGCCGCAGGAATACAAAAATATTGCACACGTATACAGCGTTTACAAAGAACGCAACGTGAAAGCTGGCATAGACATAGTTAGTGAAAAGATTTTCCGAAAAATATTTAGCGAAGAATTTAATATATCATTTCATGTCCCTAAAAAAGACAAGTGCCTGAAATGTTTACAGTTGCAACATGCAGATCTCAGCGATCCAAAAAAAAAGAAAGAAAAGAAAGATCATGAAACAGAGAAAGAAGAAAGTTTTAATAGATTTTCTACTCATAAATCTATACACAAAACTGATCCTTCCACATTATGTGCAAGCTTCGACTTGGAGAAGGTGTTGAATACTCCACATGGCGAGTCAATGCTGCTTTATTATTCAAGAAAAATAGCGGTATATAATCTATGTTTCTACGAAAACGGAACACGTAGAGTAACTTGCTATTATTGGGATGAAAGCAACGGGAAAAGGGGTGCAAATGAAATCGCAAGTATTCTTCACAGGTACATAAAATCTGTGGATGAAAGAGAAAATATAAAACACCTTCTTCTATACTGCGACTGTTGCCCTGGGCAGAATAGAAATCGCACTGTCCTAGCCATGATACATTCTACTTTGCAGGAGTGTAATAATCTTCAGACGATACAAATTAATTATTTACTAACAGGACACACATATATGCCTGTTGACAGTGTACACGCCGTTATAGAGAACAACCTTAAAAAAACTATAATTCATGCGCCTTCGCAATGGTACACTGTATTTGCTACGGCAAGAAAAGAATCTTTTCCGTATGAAGTTGAAGCAATGACTTTTGAAAGTTTTAATAGATGGGACGTCGTTGGTGATAAATACTTCAAAGGGAATTTGACTGGGAAAATTAGCAAAGTTCGTGTCGTGACTGTCAAGAAAAATAAGCCTTCCATGATTTCTATCAAAGACTCCATGAACGTTAATGCAAAATCGTATAATGTCGAAGTTCAATCCAAAACCAAAGGTCCACTGATGCCTTGCTACCGATCACGACTGCCAATCGCAGAGGCCAAATATAATGATCTCATGAAACTTTGTAAAGATAAAGTAATACCTGCTCCATTCCATCACGAATACTCCATTATCCCAAAGGCTACTAATGCAAAAGATACCTTGCCTGAATCAGATATAGAAGATGATGAATAATAATTACAACATACAGATTATTTCATGTTGTTTTTTTAGAAGTTTATTTTTAGTTCGGTTTATTCAATGAGAGCTTTAAACGGGTTCCTATTATTTTAATTGTTACTTCATATTATAATGTAGATGATGACTGAAAATATTACTAGCTGTAAGTTGTTTTCGCACAGTACTTATACTCTGTCAATTATAGGATGGTTCCCTGGCGGTTGTTAGATTCATACTATAATTGATAGAGTATAGTTGATATGGCTACTGTTATTTTTAGAATTTGAATTAAGTTCGTTTTTTTTATAAGTTTTCTTTTTGTTACATATTGTTTTCTGAATGCCTATGAGGTAAATTTGTTGTGACTGAAATGTTACTAGTTTTGTAAACATATTCAAATTTTATATTCATTATAATAATATTAATAGGACTAAATACTTACATTTAAGATCTCAATGTTCCTAGAACACATAATTATTATTATTGTGATATACAAGTAGATTTATAATACCTAACTAATACTAATACTGTGTACCATAATGTTGCTTTGTTAAACTTAATAAAACTCAAGACAGTTTAAGTGCATTTTATTTATCCATTATTTTTTAGTAATTCTTTAATGAAAGATTAATCCAATTTTCTGTAAAAATGTCGTTTATGTCAAAATTACGGGAAAAAAAATATAAAATTAATATTTAGGTTGTTTTGCCTCAACTTCCACATGTTTTTTATATTGGTAAGGCAACTTTTACTCTGTTATAAATAAAAAAAAGATATATACTACATTTTTACCGTACCCTCCTTAATAAAGTGTTTTTTCCCGTTTCTACTTTTAGGGAAAATCTTACTAAGCGACACTAACTTTAAAACTAAGCATTATTTTTAAAAGTTACGTATACTATAATGTAGATAAAAAAATAAACAAATAAATTTCTAAAATTGGGCTTTTTTGGACCATTACAAAAATTTACACGATTTTTTTTTTCAGAAAATTCAAAATTTAAACAGCTCTACTGTAAAGTTAGTCTGATGTCGCTTGGATAATTTTTCCTTTCCAGCGTCGATATATATATATATATATATATATATATATATATATATATATATATATATATATATATATATAAAAAGAGACGAAAATATTTAAAAAAAATAATGTCCTAATAGTATGCAGATAACTCCTGAGCTTAATAGAATCCAGGTATTTAAATATTACGGACGGATACTTCAATTTTATTTACATGTATATGTCGATCGGGGGAAGGACCACGCTGGCACGGAATACCAGTGTAAAATAGTAGCTTAATACTGCTGTGTTTCGTATGGTGAATGTATGAAACCGGAGACCCTCTTTACTGGAAACGAGGCATACCATAAAAGTCCTCACGGGTGGCAACACATTTGTACTTTAATTCGTAATCGAGGATAGATGTAGATGTCTATGGGCCACAGTAACCACTTTCCATCAGGTGGACTGTGTGCTCGTTTGTCACACTATACTATAAAAAAATAAAAAGAGGTATCAATTTTATTAACCTAAATGAGAAAATACATACTTTTTCAGGAAAAATATAATAAAATTATGTACTATGCACTATGTTATTAAAAATATATGTAGTATGAACAGATGTGGCCAAATAGACATAACAGTCGTGTATGTATTTCCCGCCCTAGTGATACCAACAACTCGTTTTCATTTTAGTACCTGGCTCTTTGCCAACTCATTACGCTGACAGATCTGACTTTGAAAAAACTGAAAACTTTGAAATGTAAGCTTTATGTTTACAGCACTCGTCTGTTATAGAAAACGCATACGCCCCTGTATATAAAAATCCTTAAAGAACGATCTCGTATAACAACATTTTCATTTTATGAGAAAGTAAAACTACAACCTAAGTAAGTCCTACTACTTGGCACAGATGTTTCTTTTTATTTCAGACCTTATTATAAAAAATGCTCTATTAAGCTTTAGTTTTACACAACATCTTTTAAAATTCAAATAACATGAATTTTACCCTATGCGTAGGTTTGTATACATTGTTTTCGAACTTCTTGCAGAAACAACAGGGAATTGTAAATGCGTTTAGTGCCTCTTAATAAAGAGGGTTTCTTTTTGAAGGCCTCTAGGTAGTATTCGTGCGGAAATCTGCTCGTAAGAGCGGGCTCACACGTTCCGGCTTAACGAAATTTTTTTCGTATGTCTTCAGTGGTGTATGCAAATAAGTATATTTTCACCATAGAGAAAAACCTAATTCGTTCTAATCACAGAAAACCGAGAGACTCCGAGAGACGGAGACAGCCCGCTGAGACTCAATTTCGGACCGAATTTCAGTCTCAGCGGGCAGTCTCAACGAAGACAAGGTGCTCTTTCTATTCCCTCATTATTATAGGGTGATCTGGCGCGGAACCAACGGCTTTACGTGCTTTCCGAGGCACGGGGGTAAAACACATCCAACTTCCTGATTCCGTGCTGCTACCAATGAATAAATAATATTTGCTGCTACTGAGAACTTTTTCACAGAGAAACTCAATAATTGAAGAGGCATACACACACACACACACACACACACACACACACACACACACACACACACACACACGCACGCACGCACGCACGCACGCACGCACGCACGCACGCACGCACATGCACACAAAAACATATAATGTTCTAAAGGCGAAAGTTTATTAACCAAATTGGCGATATACTGAAAACGGGCCAAATTAAGAGTACCCTTAACCGACGAGCATATATGCGTAAGTATGTGGATGTGGAGGAGGCGAGAGAGGTGTGTCAGGATCGTGCCAAATGTAGTCTCTGCCTACCCCTCCGGGTAGGCAGAGACTACATTTGGTGGGTGGACAGGCGTGAGTGTAAGTCTGTATAATGTTCTAATGTATCGTAAAATTAACTTACCAAAACCTTTTTATGTTAATGCAATAGATTTTTTAACGTGTACGGCGGAACTATATTAGAATACCGAATCAATTATACCCTAATCTATACAGTTAATCTATTCTCCCTGTAACAGTTATTTCTGCAATGTGGTTGTGTGTTGTAGGAAATTCCTAGAAAACCGCACGGTGGTTGTTTGCTAACCGTCAAACATACGGATGTTATAAGGTATATTTACCTATTGATATATTTACATATATAAAGTGAAGGAACGGCTTAAATGTACCCCGCTGGGTACAGTTTCGGAGAGATCTTTGGAATAGAAAACCTTTGCTGTTTTAATCAGTGTTGATAGACTTCATATTTCCTCTATTTTATTTTCTCATACTTGCGCGTTCTTCCATTATATTTTATTTAATCACCAATCACATGCTAAATCAGTACTTTAAGTTACGCATAACAATGTCAGTGTGGCAAGGAATCGAACTCAGGCTGGTTGGTTGCTTGCTATGAAATTCAATACGACCACCCAGATGCTGCAAAATCTCTTACCATGCTTGCAACGACCTTACTTGCTTACTATTTACGCTGATACAGTAACCTGAATAAATAAAATATATGACAAGTATTGAAAAAAATTAGCCGGACACGATACACCGTATAGTTTAACTTTTTCATAGGCTGTTTAGCAGCGCGTTCAAATTTGAATTCGTTCGGCAATTTTCAGAAACAATTTTTGGACAAGTTTTACTATGAGAAATATTGAGAAAGGAGTAAGAAGGATCCTATCGCATTTACCGGAAAATGTGGCAAGTTAGTCGTCATCCGGGGTGATTCTTTAAGAAACGTGAGTGTGTGTGGAATCGTCGCAATGACTTCTACTACGGTCACACGTCACCATCTTTATACACATACCTCGTTGTTCGGACCCACGTGCCAGACCACGAACGTGATGGCCGTAGGCACAAACCATGCCCTCAATAAGTACCAAAGAGATCCCACTTGAAGTAAAATTATTTCTTTGTAGCTCATCGACTCGACCGACGAAGGACCACTCTCTCACAGAATATCCGCGTAAAATAGCAGCCTAACATTGCTGTGTTTCGTATGGTGAGTGTAAAGAACCGAAGTCCCTTATTTTTATTTATTGAGGACTAGCTGTTACCCGCGGCTTCACCCGCATGGTCACTGGGAAATGAACTATCCATTGCTTTTTGAATTGAAAGAAAACTGAGTTTTATAGATTTGTCAGAGATGCAGCCATTAAAAGGAAACTGAGCAAAATTGATTCGTCAGCCTACTTAAATGTTTTGAAACGCAGCGTATAGGAAAACATAAAAAAGCCTGTTTATTCCAAATGGAAATGAGATATTTTTTTAACTAAAGGAAACTGAGCATAATTATCCGTCAGGGATGCAGACTTTTGAAAAGAAACTGAGCTAAATTGATTCGTCAGAGATGCAGTTTTCTGAATTGAAAGGAAACTGAGCCAAATAAAAGATCGTCAGAGATGCAGCCTTTTGAGTTAAAAAGAAACTGAGCTTAATAGTTCCGTCAGAGGTGCAGCATTCGTAATTGAAAAGAAACTGAGCTAAATAGGAAATTTTAAATTGAAAGGAAAGATCTGTGGGAATTCTGATTAATTGATTGTGGGAATTTTGGAAAAAAAAACTAACTAAACACTAATTTAAGACGCTACTGTACACAATGTTATATGTTTTTCTATTCGGGGAAAGAATTTTGAGTTTCTGGGCATTTGACACACGCGAACATGCTACATACAGCTGACCATCAGAGAAGCACGGTTTTTCTAAGTTGACCCCCGCTACCTGTAACGTTTGCCCTTGCGCTTTATTAATTGTGATTGCAAAACTGAGCTTAATAGGAAACTGCAACCTTTTGAATTGAGAAGGAAGATCTGTGGGAATTATAGGGATCTGTGGTATAATAACATTTTCACTTTTTCCTACGCCTGTCAAAATTGTAGCACCGATTATGTTCCGTCCAAGATATGTCACATGCAGCCTTGTCCCGTTACATAACCGAGGAGCATCTAAATTTCGCATTACCATAACTGGGACGCCTAATTTTAATTGAAGCTTATGTGAGTTCACACCTGACA